ATGCTGTAGCACAAGCAGAGAAGCGAGCTGATGAGAAATGAGATTAATGGCTTGCTTTGCCAGCCGTCTGATCTCTGGCGGTTTCACCGGTCATACCACAATGTAAATGGGAGCCAGGAGAAGATCAGGCTTCAGCGGAGAGCAGCAAGGTGGAATGTGAATACGCTGTTGTAAACTCACTTGTGAATCCTTAGGGAGTTTGTCGCTTTAGTTTTTGCAGTTCAATGTCTCGATGACAAGCTATTTTAGAGCAGTTTTCAAGTGAGTATTGTGAGTGATCCTGGAATTTTATGGTCTTGCTTTATTTTGTTCTGTGATTGGTCAAAAACAAAACTTACGCCACATCTCAACTAAGCAAATGCAAAACTAGGACCAATTCCATCTTGGTCACTCGTGGTTTCCCGCACTTCAAGCAGGTTGCCTGTTTTTACTTGAAGTTCTCATTGGCTAATGATGATGCCAATCTTTGTAATGACTGGTAGTTATGATTGCTTTAGTTTTGGTTTATCGAAACTAAATTGGAAACTATGGTAACGATAAATTAGATTATTGTAGACTCATCTGAGTGTTATTATTTTCGTTCCTTTTTTTTTTTAAGTCCCAATACCTCAAGCAGTTCCAGCAGCCCAACAGAACACGACTGCTGGCCTCAAGAAGCCGACAGTGACGAACAACAGACACAGAGTTACTTTAAAAAGATTAAAAGAAGTCGCGGTTGTTTAAACAAATCAAAGCGTCGTAGATCACCCGGAACACCAAGGGCTCTGACCCAAAATATTAAGGACCTTATGTCCCCAGAGGGCCCAAACAAAGGACACAAAAAGGGGCCTTGTTGTCAGGGTCGTATAGAAGGCACTTCTTGGGGTAATACAGATGAGAGTCCTGGTAGTTGTAGTGACATTGACAATAATCTTGCTACATTAAGCCACTCCTGTAGTGATTGCCCCTACACGCCTGGGTCTCCTGTCATCAATGTCACAGGACGGATAGCGAAACGGAGAAAAAGATGGAACTCAAACTCAGAGAGCTCCTCAGAGAGTAATCATCTTTCACCGCGGAAATGCTCGGCAGATGAAATATCCGACCTCGAGCCAGAGTTTATTCCTAAACTGACGAACGACTCTATGGAACTGACAGAAGATGAACAATTTACAAACGTCATTCTTCAATTTTCAGAATCGTGTCTAGACGAAGAGGTGAGTTTCAACTTACATAGGATTTGTAGATCCAGATAGGCTAAGGGAACTCTCCAGTCATGGGCTTTGCTCGAACTGGGATAGACTGACTTTTACCGGTGTAAATGAAAAGGAAACGTCATTTACTCTCAATAAGCAGGTCGGATATTCGCTTACTCGTGTGGTTAAATGCCAAAAGATTGTAAGATTTCTTTTTCTCACGAAATATTGTCTAGAATGTTCGACACACAAAATGTTCCCACTTTCCTGCTTATTCAACGCCGGTGACAATGGAAGCGCACCTCTCTTGGTCATAGGGTGGGACCAGGTCGCCGGAACCAGGTTGAACATGTCATTTGTCTCTTAAACGGGGGACAAATACTTGATTATTTAGTTTATTAATTTTTCATACTCGTTTTCTTCTTTACAGCCTTGCACCCAAGAGGAGAACAAAAAGACAAGCTGTGCAGCCGGAGATAAAACCCTGTCTCTTCCTGATTCATCTGTGTAGAATATTTTAATTTACCATAAATAATTAACTTGCTGCTGGGCAGCAAATTTTGACAGAATCCATGCCTAAATGGTACCCAGTCTCTTTGAAGGTCGATTTAGCTGAGAATGGGGCTGAGCTCTACTGAAATGTAGACTTTGTCATTTGAATTGTAACAGAACCTTTAGGCAAATGAACACCTGCTATCGCTTAGCAACGACACATAATTGAATTGCAAATATCAAAGTTTTATCTTTTTTATCGTAAGTTTTAAGCGCTCAAACATTCATAATTTGTGGCTCATAGGCCATCAGCAAGTGTCAATGAAATTTGTATTCTAATTTCTGGTGTTATGATTGCGTCTGCAATATATTTATTACATTGAATCTCATGTTAATCCAGCGCTGGTATTGCACGCTTGTTTATGAAAATAAATCTTATTTTTTTGTATATTATTTTACTTATAACTATTGTGTGTCTGTAAAATTATACGATGCACGATTCTCTTTTCACGGATAGTACTACTGACAGAAGACAGTAAGCTGTAGAATACTCTTGTAATCTCCAACACCGCAACATTTGGAATAAATAAGCACTCATCAAGTTTTCGAAGACTAACGAAATTGCAATTTGTGGTCTTTGAAATAATTGATGAGTGCTTATGAATTCCAAATTGCACGAGAAAAATATTTTAATTTCATATTAATAATCTACATGAAAAAATACGAGATAGCCTATCATAACTATGCAGGAGCAAAACGCGCGCATCAAGTGTAAGTGACATTCTGCGTTCGGTCAAACAATAATATACAATGATATTTTCACATCTTAAAGGCGCAAAAAAGTTCAAAGTCCGGATAAACAGTTCAAGGAATTGTTCAGTCTGTGTCCGAATCACTTTTGATGAAATAGAATCGTTTGCGAGATTTAACCATGTTTGTATTCAATTTCGGCGTAGAATCGCTCTAGCAAAGTGTTTCGCTGAGTCGGCTCGTAATTTTCGATTTCCGTGGCAATTACCTTCTCTAAACACCACTTTTTTTTCCAAACCGACTACCAAAAAGCAGAGCTTTTAAAAGTGTTTACGTTGTTAGAGATGTTTTTCAGCTGCTGTATTGTTGTTGCGGTGGCGAAAGAAAGAAAACCTACTTAAAATGCCGGCCATTGTTTGCTCGAAAATGTTGAGCGTATCCAAATATTGCGACATCCAAGATTCGCATTTGATTAGCTATCTGTGAGTTTCTTTGATTACTGACCAATCAGAATGTCTAGTTTGTTACTTCTTTGCACTGAATTAACCCTCTTCTGCATTGAATTACCTGAAAACTGCATTTATCTTAACCAATCAGAACAGAGTAATTTTTTCTCGTATATTATTAGGACTATTTTATGATTATTATTACGGTCATAATTATGATCATTATTACGATTATTATTATTATGATTATTATTATCATTTTTATTATCGTTATTATAATTACTATTGTTATTATTATTATTATTATTATTATTATTATTATCATTGTTATTATTATTGTTGTTATGTATAAGAT